CTCTCTGTTTAAGTTTATGCACTGTATACGATATTGTATAGATATTATTTGGTTTTCAAAGAACCTAAAGCCAAAAAAAAAAAAAAAAAAAAGAAAACTTACATCCGCCGATTTTTAAATTATTATAATTACATGCGGTAACCTAAATTGTGCTATTCAAAACTTGTATTATTTTCTCTTCCGTGGCGGCACAAAACGAACTACGCGCGTTTTTTCGCTCATTATGGCATGAAATGCAAATTCCGGTTGTTGTATCTTTTATCTACAATATGTGACGGCAAACTCGTTTAACTTATTTGACGCGGCACACTACGTGTCCGGTAACTTCGAGTGCCCATTAAAACTTCCGTCTGTTAGCGGGTTTGTAAGCAGCAAATGGTACTTCAAAAACCGCCACGAGAGTACCTGTCTTGCCGCAGGCGACTTTACGAACATCACAAGTTTTGCTCAATTATATTATATTCTATCAGTACGAAGAAGAGAGAAGATACAGAAAAGAATGCATCGGATGACAGCATCGTTATCGAATATCCCGATAACTCTCCCGGGAATTCATTAATATGTAATTTTATGCAACTTTTTGCGAAGCAAATAAAGTGCGCTACGTGCGCAATACGTGCCTTAATAAAACAGAGAACGGGACACAATTGTAATTTAAGGGGTTCGCGGTAAACGATACTCGGTCGCGTGTGCGACGTTGAAGTGGAACATTTTCTCAAAGGTAATACGAAACGGATCGTAATTTGCATTATGAAAGCTGCGGCGAGAGGCCGCGCGCAAAAGCCGGGACCAGCGCCATCGATTTCACAATCGGCTCAACCCATGACAAATTAAAGGAACGTAACGTCTCGTTCGTCTGACCGTTTCTTCCTTCGACGCGCGAGTAGTAAAGTCGACGGCGAAGAAATTTCCGAGTCACGATCGCGAGAAACACCTGCGCGCGAATTCTCTCGCAGCGACGACGGCGATATACAAAATTGCGCGAGCTTAACGTCCCGGCCGAGCATTTATTTATCGGCCGGTCGATTGCGCGCGAATTATTATCGGCATTAAATCAGATAGCGCGAAAATCGCTTAGAGCGTATCTCTCTTCGCGAGAAACATTTGCCGCAGTTTCCCCTTGCGCGCGATTATTATACATCTTGCCGTGTAAAGTCGTCGTACATCGCGAGAGAGTTCGAAATGTTTACAATTATCGTAAAGAGTAGGCGCCGAAGAGCGGGAATATTAACAAGAATATACTGTCGTCACAATATGCCTCTTTCATTTTATCTCGCTAAAATATAATGATGTGTAAAAGGCATTTGTATATAAAACTCATGTGAAAATGTGTCGTCACAACGCGACATATTACCGCGTGTTTTTTTTTTTTTTTTTTTTTTTTTCTATTTCTTGCTTTTTTTTTTTTATCTAACTTGCAATATCGCGTGTTCGAGTTGTGATTTATCTCGCTAACGAAGGAAGCGGAAATGGAAATTTTCTCGGAAAGCACCGGTTTTCTTTGAATGCGGGGATCACACACGTTTCGGCCAAGTGCAACAATATAGCGTGCGGCACTAATTTATCGTAATTGTTATCGACTCGGCCACAGGTTTTTGCGGCGATGCAATTGGAACGCGCATATTCCTGGAACGCCGCCTGCGTTTTCTCGTATTCGCAACCGCAGACTCGCACCATTGACCGTGTGCACACGTTCCACCTGCTTCGCGTGGAAACGACGCACATACGTCAACAAGTAAAAGCGACGTCTGCGTCTGTCCATTACCTCTCTGGACGCCGTCAATCGCTCCCCGAAGCTTGTTATCGACGTTCATTCAGCCGTGAATTATGTCGATCGCAAGCACGCGACCTCGCCTGCGTGATGAGGTGGCCCCGATATCGCTTCCTCGATTACTCGATTAAATCCATTAACTTCGACGCGTCGTGAGCCGTGGATTCATGCACCAGCTTCTTGTTAAACTGTCGTGACGTTCATGATGGAGGATCAAGCGGAGGCAACGCGGCGAGCAAATTGTACCAATTAAGACTTTCAGTTAATTAGGGATCTTCTGTCAAAAGCTGACAGTTATGCGAGCTGTATATATTCATAAACCAGCGTTGCGAAATTCTATTTTGTTTTACTTACAAAAGGAAATTGATATTTATTATCGAAGAAATTGAATTAGAATTGTTTTTATTTTTGAATATTTTTTACGTGTGTTTTATTTTTGCAATAACGTTAGCGATATCTGAGAAAACCTAAATCGCGATATTGTGATATCAACAAGAAAAAGAACAGGAGTGTAGTAAGCTTCAATAAATTCTTATAAAACAGGAAATGTATAATGGCCATTTGAAGCAAAAACACTGGTGATAACGTGTGTATGATAGATGCATTACTTTATTCAAGCAGGTAACATATAGAACGTTTTCGGCCTTAGATTAGGCCTTTGTCAATATATATATAAATATGATGTTCTTGAATTAAAACTCTCAGTTACTTTAATATTTCTATATTGTAATCATGTGACTTGTATAAGTTTTAATTCAAGAACATCATATTTATATATATATTGATAAAGGCCTAATCTAAGGCCGAAAACGTTCTATATGTTACCTGCTTGAATAAAGTAATGCATCTATCATACACACGTTATCACTAGTGTTTTTGCTTCAAATGGCCATTATACATTTTCTGTTTTATAAGAAAAAGAACATTTTCTAATTACTGTAATAATTCGAGATTGTTCTCTTCTACAAGAACGAAAAACAGATGGAAAATTTTATTAATGTCGTCAACTTAGTCATCTTACCCGCGTTTGCGCGGTTCAATCATATCTCTTCCACGTTTAGAAGGAGCGTCAGGTGTTCTCAAAAGAGGAGATCATCCGCATCGGCGATCCGCTTAACGTACGGCATTATTGTCGACATAGCCAGCCGCCGGAAGGATTTACTGGCTATGGAAGACCCGGAGCGCCGCATGCGGCCATCAGTAACGGCGCTTTATGATATTTATGAATAGCTGTTTAACTTGCACTCAACGTTTGCGCGCCGCGTCGCAACGTTGTACATACGTGGGCACGCAGCGGTCCACTCCCGTCGTACTTGAACAAAACGAGAGGCACGTCACATCGTGTATGTACCAGCGTACCTGCGAGAGCGAACGATGCGCGCCGATGCACCTGTACACGTAAATCCGACTGGTACTCCCACGCTAACGTTCAGCGAGTATGATGTCGTACTAAACTGTACAGCTGCCACATGAAGGAGAATCCGGAGACTAAGGAGACTACGTTAGTATTATAGTACGAGCTATGCAGAAACAATTTTATTTTCCGATTGTATTTTAATCTCTGTTTCCGGTTTTTAATCTGTTTTTATTTTTTGACTGGACTTTAATCGCGTCTGAAATATGAAACAAATTCGAAATAAAAAAAAGCAGTCATAACTTTTTAAATTATATAATATCTGTAATCGAATATTTTTTTATGTGGAATATTTTAGATAAAGTGTTTTTTTAAAAAAAACCTTTTGTAAATTTGTTTAAAGTATCTCTTTGAAACTGCACTTATAAATTTTAAACGCAACTCCAAAGAGATGAGATATCGAGGTAAAATTACTAGTTTCCAAAGCATACATTTCACGCGAATTAGAAGCACAAATCTGACGCCTACTCTCGCGCACCTCGCGTTTTACAGGGCGGATCGCGCTCAACATCCGCACTCACTCCGTTACGTGTACGTGCCTTTTCTCGTATCGTTCGCACACTAATCTTCAGGATAATGTATTCCGCAGCTCGAAGATACAACGATCTTATACAAACCACTTGGTCTTCACACAAGCAATCCGCAAGTTGCGAACGAAGATCGGACCGAATTATTATCAGTTAGCAGTTGATTTTTGTTGACGTATCACGCGTAATCGAGATCTCATATTCACTTACACAACTAAATCTAGAGAATATAGAATTTACTTTTTTTTTGTATGTTTCAATGAGTGCGTTGTTATAAGTTAAGTAAAAACATCGATTTCTCTCTCTCGTGTCAATATTGAAAAGAAACAATTAGTAATTTCTTTAGATTTAGCGCTACTTCTACATTTGATCAGAAAAAAAAACTCCATTTTGCGATAATTATTAAGAAGCAGTTTATAGAGCGCGTCTCTAATGAACGTTTACCTTGTCCTAGCTCTAGTCTCTCCTTCCGTGCATCGAACTTTCACATCGTCCGCGCCGTATACCGTATTACAGGTGTAAGAGGTCGAGTGCCATTAGGGTTTTACGAGGTTAATATGCAAAACCGCCATATCGGGCCGACGACGGCGGGCGCGCAATAGGCGCGCGCGTTGTCGAGTCAGGTCGCGCGCGCACACGTAACCCCCGTTGATGAATTATACACCTCGATAAGGTCGTGCGCGTTAATTTATTATCCGTGTAATCGCCGCCCGCCCGTCGTCCTTTTTCCCGGGTCGCCGCCGCGCCGCGGTCTCACCGTATGCATGTCCGAGAGGAGAGGAAAAAAATTCAATTCCGCAGAAGATGGTTGCGGGCGCGGGCGTGGAAGCGATGGAAAGAGAATCGCGTGGAAAAATCGCAAATTTATTGACCGTACGCCCGCCCGTGTCCGGAAAAATACGCGGCGGCGTGTTGTACGTGTGTACGTGCCGCGCGCGTGGTCTTCCGCGCGCGCCTTCTTCTTCTTCTCTTCTTCTTCTTCTTCTTCTTCTTCTTCTTCTTCTTCTTCTTCCCGGTTGAGCGCGCAGGTGAAACACGCCCGCGCTAGTTCTCGCGTGGATTAAGCACCTGTGACAACGTCGCGAATCCCAAGATTTCAAGTTTTCTGACGATAAATTAGACGGTCGTGTTTCGTTTTCGCAATTATAATGTTGGGTGAGACACACCGCGGGAAACATACGCTACTGTTGAGAAGAGATAAAGAAGGGTGGTGCACCATCATAGACTGCCGAGATGAGATTATTAGAGTTGTATAGTCAGGCGCGTGTGTGGTGACAACAAAAGAACAATACTCACTTTCTTCCGATAGAGTCGACACAACGGAGTAGAATGAGTAACGAGACAAATCAGACATATTTAATAATCACACACTGATCGCTTGTGTTAATTGCGAATAAAGTAAAACTTTATTAATATAAACTGTGTGTGTGTGTGTGAATATAGACCCAACATGTGATAAATACAAGAGTAATATATACGGCGAGTCTCTACTCCGGAATGCTGCCGGAGCGAGCACGAAACCTTCGTCAATAGTTTTTTGCTTGTTTACAACAAATTTTCGTTCAGCCGATTGGCTGCCGCGAACAGCCTACCGCTGATCGCGCCGTGTCACGGTCAAAAACGCAAATAATATCACAAATAAACTAGATAAATTTACTTTTGTTTTACACACACGCACACACACACAGCAGTATATTTAACAATTTACTTTATGACGTCTTAAGTTTGTTGATTTGATGATGATTTTAAACGATCGTGTAATTGTGTGATATTAAGGATCTAAATCGTTGTAAGTTGTAACTGTCTTGCAAAAAGAACCATCTCTAAAAGGTCGAATATCAACCGTCGCGAACTTGTTCGGTTTATACCGCGGATGATATTTAGGGATAGCTACTTTGTATGTAGAATTTTTGACGTAACAATTGAATCTTCATCGTAAGATAAGTCTGCACCTATATTGTTCTCTTTGCGCAACCTTTCGCGCAAATGGTACGCCGTCTGGAATATCGATAGTGAAGTGATTCCACTACATGATCATAAACATTATTCGATGCGCAATGAGAGATACAAGCTCCTTTACAATTGCTGATTGACTATCTTATAGGATGGTGCTTCTTGTGCAACTGTTACTGTCTTAAAACATGTAGAATATTAAAAAAAAAATTTTAAAACTTGTCTTATCTTTCTCTCGCATTTAAATAGCTTTTTACAATTTGACGACAATCTTTTTGATTGCAAAAAAATATAGAAAAAAATATTAAGATATTCATCTTTTCCTTTAATATTTTGCTTGAACAGCGTTTTCCTATTTTCCTTGTAATCAGCTGTCACTTGCCATATGGTACTTCCTAGTTCAGCGGGTGACACGCGGGCAAGGGGTTATCGCGATGCAAGCGAACTACGACCGGGACAGGCCAAGTCAGTCGAGCCATGAATAAACCGCGCCTAATAGTCATCGATACGCGTAATCGAGCCCCTCGAGTCTGACCTCCGGGATTCCTGCAATCTCGAATGCCAATGTGAGAGAAACAACGTGTGGAAGGAGGAGCGAATTGAGGAACTTTGCGCGCGCTGTCGTCCGCGTGTCTTATCCGAACACGACGATTACGAGGGACGTGAAGGTGCAACTAAAGGATATGTGCCACATGCGCTGCTGTAAGTCTGTCGCTATGCGATGCACATCAGCTTGCAACACACAACCGCAAAGTCAATCCTCCTACTGGCTCGTCTATCACCTGCCGATAGATTTATCAAATATCGGCACCTTCGTGTTCATAATTTATACGCTTTCCAAACGAACGTTACAACAGACCCGCGATATACGTAATCGCTGACGTCGACAAAGAATTTGCAATGGAACATCGAGCTTCGATGCGGATTTTTAAGTTATTTTTAAACACCGACAGATCTCATCGTTTCTTTGTTTTACTGAGATTAAAAAAACGCCGTAAAAAAGTAGTTTAGCCGATTGTTGTGCGATTGAATTGAGATTATTTTTATTTTGTCACAATTTCGTCACGTTATACTTTAATAAGTGTACTAACTTAATAAAACACCGTAAGTTTTACTTTCTCCGATCCAAAGAGGAGACTCTCTGCCACATGGCTGATATATATCGGCGCTTCGAGTGAGACGTTACCATAACTTCTGAGCTGCGCCGTCACTTGCATAATTCATTCACGAAAGATATAAGGGCGGCTTGTACGAGCCTCAACTACCCAATTCGGTTCTCCCAAAATTAATGGATCTTAATTACAAAGGATCCATTATTACGGATGGCGAAGAATTATTGGAATTTAAAAAAAATTTATCTTTATTCAATTCGCTTTTTTTTTACATCGCATCACGTGTGTGAAAAATGTATTGAGAAATTATGAAGAGATGTTATATCACAAAACGCGATAGAAAGAAACAGTTTATTTTTAAAATTGATATTGTTTGATGATTTGTAGCAAGAGTTGACATCCGAAGTTCACAAAGTTCGATAGCCGGGATTTCGACCTCTCGTGACCCATTTTAATATTATTATTCGTGACTGGTTCTGGCGACTGAGGACTGGATCACGTGATTATAAGATTTTATATTGCTAGTGCATCTGCGGCGGTCTTCTCGATTAATCGAGAGCAGCGGCTTTTAACTCGGACTCTGTATTTGTTAGTACCCATAATGCGCTCTGATCGCTATTCTCCAATCTCTTTCTAGTTCACGCATCAACCGCGCGATTTTCTTCTATATCATACAGCATAGCGCACATAGCAAATAATAAGATGTATTCATCCATCTTGATAGATTCCCAATTAACTAGCGTGTGTCTTGTTCCGTTTCTTCGATCTTGCGAGTCTTGTGAATCGAGCTGGCTCATCCATCTGGCCACATCATGCTTTTCCGTACGCTCGTGGCTTCTAACGCTCGCATGCGCGGACGTTTATGCTTGATCAGCGTGGGTGGAACAATTCAAATGCTATGCCCGCAAGGGACTTATCTCTTTAAAACGGTTAACTCCCGCGCTTTCACCTAGATCATGTGTTCTTCGGTCGCTCGTTTAGTGTTGATTTTTATCGCGAATAACAGTATTGTCTCCTGAAATATTTTTCTGCGACTCTAACCGAACAAATCTTGTGTCATGTGATTATCGGAATTTTACGTTAAATGCTGTCTGATTTCATTTTTTTTTAGTTTATCATAAATATACAGATATATATATATACACGATAAAAATACTTACATGTTTTTGTGAGAATTAAATAAACGCAAATTTATATTTTTTGAGATAAGATTGCGTTTTTTTTTTTTTAGAATTAAAGTTCGATTGCATTGCGGTTTATGACGTGCCGATAATATATAACATACACATGTGCCAATATGATTTTTGTTACAACGTTACGCGGCATTTTCATCTTCTCTCACAAGAGAGAACCGCATACGAATAAAAGTTATTACATTAACGACTGTAAAAAAAAAAAAAAACTTATTCGCATGTACATGCGCGCACCATTACTTTTGATGGCGTGATATTTACGACGCGTATAAAAAAAGATACACACTTGGGAGACACGATAACGAAGGAGCAATTTATCGCTGGGCAACGGCGGTGTCGTAAAAGTATAGCTCTGAAATTAATTCAACGCGCATATACATAAATCGATTATTACTTACCGATACATATCTTAATCTGATGTCGTCGCGCTTTCGCGTTTTACACAGACACAAGTTTCTCTCTGTTTCTGATATCTTCCGGATTATTAATCAATTATTACTTTGCAGCGTATACGTCGCGCGTTTGCGACTCACACATTAAAAACACATTAATCGATAACATTGTTAAAATTTCCAAGATATATAATACCGTTATTCGAAGAGAAAACTAAATTGTGCAAACACGTAAATTCGCACAAGTTTAACTTGGCGTTTTTTGAAAAAAAAACTTATAAAATTGTTTTTTTTTTTTTTTTTATATATTATCTTAACCGATTGATCTATCAATCAAGCTCGTAGTTAGGTAACGGACATTCGAATTTCACACCTCCCTCATCGGATCGTCAAGCATCTTGTCTGCGCGATTGCTCCATCTGCTATCATCAAAAGTGTTGTTTCGTGATCTCGGTCGGCGAATTGGCATATTTTAATTGCGCGTTTCCGCGTTTTACTTTCACCACGCTATATAATTACGCCTTTGTCAATTAGTGTGCACGAGATGGCGCTTAATTACGATAAAGACACGTTAACGTGTTGCTTGACAAAGAGATAATCATTCATTCTAAGCTTACATCATGGAGTTGCGCGACACAGTCTAAAGCCATAAATGCGACGAAACGTGAACATTTCATTTGGAACGTATTTCTAAAATAGAATCCACGTCCCGAGCGAACATAGAGGCACGTTATTGCGCGCGATGTGTTGAGAGTTCCTGTGTTTTCAAAATATTATAAAGTTATGAACGTTTTTATAATTAACCTGTTGTTTTATGATTTCTTCTGTATTATTTGTTTTAGCTGATGACGATCACAAATATAGTTGATCGAAAACGTTCTTTAATAATTTAAAAAAGAACACGAGTCGAATTTATTCGAATTATCTCTATTCGTGGAATCTCCACCAGCCTGTTATTTTAATTTATTGATTTATTTGAAGCTGAAGTTTTAATTATTAATACAAAGTTATGATATCATTTCTCGTGATTTCAAATCACGCGAGAGGAGATTCGCAAATATATACATATGTACATTTGTCAAGTTTCATATTTAATGAGCCAACAGTAATGTTACATCTGTCACATCGGGATTATACGCAATCAAAAAATAATAAATTAAACATCCACACATTTGCATCTATTTTCTTTGATTATTTCGTATTTATCAGAATTATGTGTGTACACACACACATTATTCAGATAATATATAATATATAATATAATATTTACGCGAACTTTGCGTTGAATACACCTACGAATCTCCAATTGTCTCAGCCCACGTGTATTTTTTTTTTCTTAACTTAAATATCCGCGTGAAAGTTAAGAGCGATCTGTTCGTGGGATCTCGTCTCTCAGTTCGTGGGATCTCAGTCTCTTCTCTGCTGCGTGAATACATATCGCCGATGAACTTACGGCGTCTATCGTGAATAACGTTTAGGCGTTATCGCGCGCGTTATCTTCGCACCTGACGGATAACCGGTACCTCGGTACCGGCAAACCACCGTCGATAAATTTCTTAACGTCGTAGTAGCCCCCGCGGCCACAGAGAGGATGAGAAATAATGCTCTACGATTAATCGACGCGAGTCCGGTCCGCTAATCTGCGCGCTTCGCGGTGTGTACGCGCGAGCCCGGAAACTTAATTGAAAACTTCTATCGTCTAACGAGTTCCGCGACGCGGGTGGCATGTCCACCCACCTTCTTTCCGTTTGCGCGCACGCGAGCGTTCGCGCATATTTCCGCGCGCCTAATGCGCCCACCCGCTGGATTGTACAATGTACGATAATCGATGTTGCCGCCGGAATAAACAGGATGTATAGTATGTTGATCCGCGCCCGTGCTTGTGACTAATAGAGAAATTGTCTTTCTAACGTTATCGCCCGAAGCAAAAATGCATCGACGTTTTTATATGAGAAGGTACACATTTCGTAGATAAAAGTTTTTTTTTTTTAGAGAAATAAAGTACAGTTGTTTATCAATATTGTATATTACTGTATAAACATTATATTATCTGTATTGCGTTATATTTATATTGTTTTATGTATATTTAAATGTGTGTCTAAATTTATACGCGTCAGTGATGATTTATGTCACGTGCGACTCCGAAGTCACTAGCGAAGTCACGAACGAAACGTGCTGTATCAAACGCGAGATTCTACACAACGAGGGAACTACAGGTCGCGAGGCAAAACGCTTCATCTTCAACGCTCGTTCCCAGCTAATTCAAGATCGATTCTCTCAGTCGATTCAAGCACCACTCTCTTTTTCTCGACGGATTAGCGAAGGCCCCTTTTATTCGCCACCGGACACGCGAAGCGTAATAACCTCCGAACTCCCACTTATCTCTCTCAATCATCCCTCCGGCCTCTCTCGCGCGGCAATCTTTAGCAGCGAGGCATTAATGTTGGACGATTATCCCTCAATTTGGCAGATTCAAAAAAATTCACGGCATACTCGCCCATAAATCGGCGGATTAACCCCGGCGTTTAACATTTATCAATTACTCCTTGACGTTCCCTCGCGCGGCCGCGAGAGCATATACGTGTGCGTGAGAAAAAAAACGATCGAAGGTAAAGATCGCGGTAGGGAGCGAAGAGTGTAAAAAAGGAAAGAAGAAGGTGGTGCAAACTGTAAGGCAAAACATGCTAAGATCGCGTATTATTACCGCTAATGCTTTTGGAGTTAACTCCGTTGCTCAGCGTGAGCGAGCCGATGATATTAGTGGAGTGCAAGAGAGATGATTCTATTGTTGGTACAATAATCAAGAAAAAAAAAAGAATACGAATTTCAAACGTGCAACGAGATACATGTAGCACACAATTAATAATAGCAAAACATTTATATATACAAATTATTTATATATACAAATAATATACAAATAATAGAGATTGTATATAATAGAGATGATTTATATATACAAATAGAGAGATTGTTGATTGTCAAAAAACATACTTGAATCGAGAAACAAAAATAAAGGCTAAACATGGGAGAGAAATTATAGCTCTTCGAAGAGCTCTGTCAGATCGTTTCTAGTGACGACTGCGTGCTCTATTAGGTAGTGAAGATCATAGGCCTGAACTAGAACCACGAGAAGAGTTAATGGTCATAACGAGACGTTTGTGGAACGAGACCTCGGAAGAGGAGAAAAGTGTCCGAAGTATAACGGCTAATTAAGCGAAGCCGCCCCACAGTACGCCCAGCGCAACGAAATTACGCTTAATAATACTACGTCGTAACTCAAGTTAACTGAATTTATAATGATTTCTTGATATAAGTCCAAGAGAGAGAGATGGCTCGCGAGATTCTATCATGACCAAAAAATCGATAATTGATATGTAAAAAAATCGAACAAGTAGACAGGAACGTTTAAATGTTTGTCTTGTTATTCTATCATTATCAAAAAATCGATAATTGATATGTAAAAAAATCGAACATGTAGACAGGAACGTTTAAGTGTTTGTCTTATTATATATAACTAAATAACAATCAATTTGCTTTTTTAACGTAAATGTTTATACTTAACACTTCCTGTTATTATCAAATAACTAGTAAATTCTATATTTTAATTTTACGTCATGTTTTTAAATTACGATTAAATTTACGCGGCGCTAATTACCCTGTTTATTAGCAAACAAGCTTGCAAATTACAGGATGAACGATCAAAGCAGCAAGTTCTATATAATCAAATGAAAGACGCTTGTGGTCAAAATATTGTCAGCAGTACAATCGGCAACGATCTTGCGAAGTTGCCGCATCTTCCTGTTCGATCTCGCAAATATATTGGCCTTGCTAACGCGACTACTAATTAGTAACAGCAATGTCACGGACAGTTAACATGCTTGTCGGCTGGTTTCGCACGAATCGCAGAAGAAGTAAGTGCAGCGGTTCGTTGCAACACCATCGCATCTGCGATATCAACAACGGTCAGAGGTCGGCGAGCGGTCCCTGCGTATAGCGAAAAGTAAATTGCAACATGACGCAGTAATAAACTGTGGTCGGAAAGTTTGAAGAAAAAAAAAATGTAAAATTACACGCAGAGAACACTTCGCCTATTGAATGTACTATATGTAAGTTCGCTAATGCCGCGATTGAATTTATTTATTATTAATTCGCATTTACCGTAATGATAAACGAAACGTCACAAATCAGATCGACTCCGTACTAATTCGCTAAAAGAAGATTATGAAGCGATTTATAAACGCGTCTTGACGGGATTACATTACTCGGAAAAGAGTCGAGCGCAAGAAACGTTTGTGCTTCTTTTCTCTTCGTTGATTTATTCGTGAGAGGTTGCATCGTGCTCGTCTCTGACATCGACCTTCGATCCTCGATCGCTGATGGATCGAGGGCACAGTACCGTGATTACCACAGCAGAAGTGGCAAACACATATCGTACACACGAAAGAAATAATACGTCTATCGTTGCTCTCATTATTCGTTTGTATATACTTGCTTACTATCCTTTTCGAACATATCGTGTGCGATTCGTGATTTCCGCTTTGATAGGAGCGGCAATAACAGCAATTAGTTAGAACTTGGCACGGTCTTGACAAAATGTGAGATATATTACATATAATTATGTAAAATATCGTAATTACACACACAGTTAGACGCGGCGTGTGATACCGGTTCTTCGAAATAAAGTTCCAATCCAAAACGAAGACCCGAGTTTCTCTCCTTTAAACAAGAATATCCGGCTTTGTAGAGATTGAATATTAAAATTAACCGTGCGCAATTATGAGTTATTATCATATGGTTTTAGTCGAAAGAGTTCTCAGTCAGAAAATTTATTTCTCTCTCTGCCAATATTTTTCTCTTAATTCTGTTTTTCTGAATACTTACTTAATGTTATGCGTGATTTAGTTATACGAATTTTCACGTTTAAACTATTGAAAAAATTCTACGATAATTTCAAAACGATTAAATAAATGATTTTTTAATAGCGCAAAAACTAGGTTTATTTTTTATTGTGATCTGGAGTTATTGACATTTTTTATAGACAAGCTTTAAGTAATAAACGAGCGAACAATGATGATGAATAGAAGAAATATGACAGGCGCATTTCCGTTTCTTTTGCAGTGTCACCATCTCTGCCACCGTTGGGTGAAACAGCGTGGGATAGAGATCGCGATCGAGATCGAAGCCGGGAGAGAAACCGGGAGTGCGAGCGGAACAGGGTGCGAGAGAGGAGTAGCGAGAACGAGAGGGAACGTCAACAGGAACGAGAGCCAGCGGCGAGGGACGCGCGAGATCGAGAAAGGGAACGCGATCGCGATAACAGACAGGAAAGACAGAGAGACAGAGAAAGAGACCGGGAGAGAGACGTGTCGGTCTGCGTGATGGAGCCACCCGATCCCGTCTTCGTTTCCTCTTCCGCGGCTCTTCTCGCGTTGCAGAGGATAAAAGAGGCTTCTCTGTAAGTATTATTATTCACCTGTTGCGTCTCATCTAACAAGTGTGTATTTTATGTTGCGTGGAGAGTCCGCTGAGAAAGAACACCGAGAAGAATAAGAGAGATAAACTTAAAGAAGCCGTTAAATATGTCTCGCGATTGAGACGCGCAAAATGAAATTAATGATTAGTTTGATACTTAAACATTGCCGCGTCAACGTATAACAAGATCTCGCCAATCAGATTTATTATATAACTTATATTCATCTGATAAAGAGCACGAAGTTTGTTAGAGTGTAACGATGAGAAAGCGATATTAACCTTTAGAGGACCGCAGTGGCCACTATACCGGCCAGAGATAGGTAACTATTTAATGTGCGTGTAAAAATATATAATAGATGTATATATGCGTATATATTAATGTATCTGTGCTTGAGAAGCATGTATTTATATGTACTTGATCAAAGTTGGCGGTGTGCTTATTACATCAAATTAGACGTCGAACTCAGTATGTATGTATTCTACTTGTAATACTGCATCACGCGTAACAGCTTGTGTTTTGAAAATTTTCACACAAAAGAAACATTACCGTAAATTCCTATGCACAAAATATAAATTAATTTATAATTTTATTTTTCCATTTCAAAACAAATAAATAGCGAAATCAAAAAATACAAAAAAAAAGATGAAAAAAATAAACTATATAAAAGAAAAAAATTAAAAACTACAAAAATAATATTAAAAAATTATAAAACAAAAAGGGAGCTACATAACACTTTCTACGTCCACGCCGTTAGCTCTGGGTAACGCTGAAGGAAAGTTTCATATATATGAAATGTAATTACTGTTATTCATTCAGACTCATTTAAGTTGGCAACACACTGTTTCTGTGTGTAAAAGTTTGACAATCTGACATTAAAAAACCCTCAGAACCGCTAAAATTCAAATTTTGAAAATTTTCAACATTGGCCACGTTGTTAAGGACCTCGTTCTCTGGCCACTATACAGTGGCCAGCAACAAACTCGGAAACTTTGCGCTACATGTGGGTTCTATATATGCGTACATTTTTCGCTAAAAAAAAAAAAAAGTTCAATATTTTGACGGAAAAATGCCGGTCCTCTAAAGATTAAACGATGGCAAACTTGCACAAGATAGAGAGAAAACAGCAGGACACACACACATCGCAAGCACTCGTTCACGTGGTGTCAATGCTTACGTACCGCCGTATTTCATCGAATGCATAAGCACGTACAGGGTTAATAGGACGAGTTCGTGAGTCCGCTGTAAATCGTGTTTAATCTGCTCTTGCTCGCGCGCGACCGTCATTTCCATTGTACTCGATTCTCCCGATTCATCTTTCGTATCTCGCTTCTAGCCCCTGACACACACTAGAAAATCGAATAATCTCTCGTGATCGCCAGGCGCACATACCAGGCGCTAACAAATCTCATCTCGCACGTTTCGTCACGATTTCTTTCGCGCGCTAAGTAATTTTCGCTTCTCTCGCTCAATTAGCATACGACATAGGTTTATAAGTTCGTATACCGTGCAAATGAGAGATATAAATTTTATTTTGCGTCTCTTATGTTTCTATTTCTGTGAAAGTGTGCATTATCAAGAAGATACAAGTTACATTACATTCACACACAAATACTGGTACCCGCATGTCAGCAACGCGGCCGCCCTCTATAAAAAAAATTTGCAACAAACTCGCGGTAATAATTCACGGTAAATGTACTTACCATGTCAGAAATCGCTCGTGGCAGATTGTTGATTGGTGAACAGAGACCAACAAATTATGTATATATATATACGTACTCAAGCAAAATCACGAAAAGGAATAATAATGCTATTATAGCTCGTTAGAAAGCTAAGAATAATTAATTTTCCGTAGCGTTTGTATCTCTCAATAGAGAAACACTAATGAACAAAGTGCTTTTTGAAAGGTAGAGCGAACTAGACGCGAATTATCGGGGATTAGAAACGGATTTGCGTCAGTTCGCGCAACACGCGTTCTAGTTTGTGGCGCGAATGGTACGAGAGAAGTCCTCACGTGACGTCGATAAAATACGGCGAAACTAAGGACGCTTCACCGATGCCGTTTTCATCAGCTGAAACCTTCTTGAATCTTTGATTCGTAGATGGCGTAGATCAATATCGTTAAAATTTATGTTTTGGCGAATTCACTTTTAAAAATTTATTGCTTTAATTTTTTGCGTAAAATTGTTAGAATATATATTCGTTCTGGTCAAATAAAAACCTTCGAACCCTCGTAAACTTACATAATCAATTCAGACTCTGTCTCTCTTGTCGATGTTTGTCTGCAATGGCCGGTGATATTTTGTTGCTGCGTCAAATTGATCGGTACTAATACGGTACACTCTAAGAAACACAAGTCGATCTATATCGTTACCACGTACGAGTTTCGCGAAAAAACAAGTTCTACCAGAATTCAGTGTGTCAAGTTGAGATTGATCGAGCTAACCGATACACCTTTCTTGTTTCCATCGATCGAATCGATCGGTCCGGTGCTATTCGATCGACTGCGCACTTTCGGAATCGCTCAATTTTACACAAGAAAAAGGCAAAATTTTAAAAACAAATTAAATAAAATTTTGTAAGTGTTGAAGTGTACACAATTTATTTATTTATTTTTTTTTTTAACTTTTTAAAAATCAGTACAAGTATAGTACAGAAGTAAATATGTATATATATATATCTATAATTGAGATATTTAGTGTAAAAACACTGCTTTTAAATGTTAATAATTTCCTTTGGGAATTTTTGTCTGTCTAATTACAGCGTGTTTCACAAACGTCCGGCGCTATCGCCAGGCATCGGTCTCGGTGGTAGAGGAAACGCCGGCGTTGGCGGAAACGGCGGCAGTTTAGGTGTTGACGGTGAATGCGGTGACGCGCTAAAGAGACGCAAGGTTCATAGATGCGACGTCGCCGGCTGCGATAAAGTTTACACGAAGAGCTCGCATCTGAAGGCGCACAAGAGAACTCACACCGGTAAGTTAACCGAAGAAAAATCATGAAAATCACTTGTTTTTCCACATGTTCAATTATCTAATATTGCTTTACCAACACATCGCCACAGTCCGCGCGAGTTTAAATCAGGACGTACAACGCGCGACTCTCCTGCGCGCGCGTTTGCAAGAATAACAGACGCACACATTAGCGTGAGGCGTCGTGTGCTATTCTAAAACTTTTCACGTGCGTGATTCGCGATCTGTCGAGGTCACAAAGATCACCGACACATTCGCACGCTAGGATTCACGAGCGCGAAGCCTCGTGGAAATTCGATACCGTTCCGAAGCGTCGCCGAGAAGGTACCTCTGTTCCGAAGGAATTTTGCACTTTTATTCGCTTTCGTACGGGCGCCCTCGTTGTATATACACCCGGTCACGGCCATTTATTATCGCGTCACGAGAACTTGGAGGAGGTCGCACCGTTTCTGTTCCGTTCCTGACCGTGTGCATATACGACGGCGGTGGTTGCTGCAGGAATTTCCGGTGGATAGGTACCTTCGTGAAGGCATCGCCGCCGTCTGGTGAGGGCAGAGGCGGCGAGGAGAGGGCGTGGTCGTGAGAACCAGGATCTTTTGTCTGGTCCATGATTCAACCGAGACGCGGCGCGCGATCGCGGTTCTCAACCGCTCTCAGATGGAAAATTCTCAAGTGGATTTTCTTATGTTGCCAGTTTCATAAATTCACATGTAGTTACTTTCGATAAATTTAATGACAAAGAAATATAAATATTTTTGTTTATTGAAACAAAAACAATGTTCTATTGAATAAAATATAAAATTGTTGTACAAATATATAGGTACACAATTATATTTTCCGCCGCAATAAACAACATATTTACTATGTAAAATTTGTAACAGTTCTTATTGCGCTTTTTACACAAAAGAGAAAACGTTTTGTAACTTTTAGAGTTTATTTCTTTATTTTGCTCGGATGTATAGAAGTTATGTCTATTTAATATTAAATGAGTTACGAGAATGTGTAGATAGGTTTTACTCTTCCGTATGGAAGTTCCATGTGCCATATTTCCGTTGCAGTTTCTTCTTGTTACTCTGATTTCCGTGGAGAGAAACTCGCTTTGCGAACATCGGAACATGCTTCGCGCATTAGAGTGCCATTACGGTACGACGGGTTTACGAAATTCCCGGTGATCGGTCGGCTTGTGAAACGAAAGACCGTGACTCCGACGTACAATCTGGTTTTGTGTATTACGCGCTTTGTTTCGGCTAATAATTGTTTCAAAGATTGGTGTAACTCCGGTTTGTAGCGTCGAACCGACATGCCGCCTATTCATCATTCTAACACGCCGCGCGGTGTCGTGCGACTATCGAGAGATATCCCGACTAAGGCGGGTACCGTCGTTACCCTGAATGTGGGAAATGCCAATTCATTGATCACCGTCATTTATACTACACCGCGGCATATAACTCGTTCGCAAATCGCGCGCGATCATGACCGTCGTCGTGAAGCCGACGGGAGCGATCGTAAAATTATCCCGTTTCGAGAAGTGGAAGAACTGTGGCGGTCAACAATTTGCGATTCTCAATTGGCGTTTTTATTCTATTCTGAACATATAACTTCCATTAAACTTACGACTTTGAAAAGCAAAAGAGACGCATAACAATTTCCCAACAAAGTGTTAATAAGAGATCTGTATAGGGGACGAGGTATAATTTTTTAATTGAGGAAAATTATGCGCCGTGTTGAACGTTGTTCAATTTGAACGCACCTCATTGACGACGTAACGGAACAATAACAGCCTAATATTACTTCTATAATATTGATGAATACAGAAGCGTATCTGACGCACGTTGTTGCGTGTAACGAGAGTTGCACATTACAGGTAGAGAATCATAGCTCATTATAGGGTACACACGGTAAATCGCCCTTGCACGATCATATAATGAGAGATGTTTCCTACGTCCATTAACGTACACATAAAAAAAACTCTTTATCTACTTGTGAGAAATCGCACAGTAACATGTGTATCTACAGGGTATCTCTAATTATCGCATTTCCCTCGAGACTGATTTCGCGTGAGTTAAAAATTATGTCTGCCGCTTATTTCAAAGATATCGTTATTTTGTAAATCCCCGGGAGTTTTCGCAGATTACGCAGATTTTGATCGAGTCGATAAAGTTCTTAACAAATCGTTATTAAAAAGGAGCGATATAGAAATTTAAATTTATTTTGCAATCGATTTCAGGTTTTGCGGTGAATGATGTGCGTAGAAAATGATCGAGAATTAACACGATTTCAAATTTTGCATTGAGAGAAACATATAATCTACGAACGGTAATAATTTATTACTTTAAATTTTTTAATAAAAATAATGAATTATAATGAATCACTTAATTTCTTTTATCATGTTGTAATTTGGTCAATTGATCAACATGTAATAGCGTTTTTTTAAATAATTTGGTTTACACATAATTATTGTTATGTAAAAAATGAATGAATCGCGCGGATTTTGATCGATCGGAAAAGAAAGAAGAAGCTGAGAATCACTGTGCGTAACTATCGGAATATAGGCTCGGTGTCAGCCTGACTGGCGTGACCCTTGATAGACAGGAGGAGGTTTGGTGAGACCTCGTGTATTAATTAAGGCAAATTAGCCTTGGCGTAAGCCGGACAGCGTCTGTCGATCGGTTCCGTGTATCGAAGGATACGCCGCTGATCACAGGCAGCTCGCTTTGTGGATTTCTCTGCGAGATGGTGTAGCGCTACGGGCTACCCTGTTATTAACAATGCACTTATGCATCTAATGCCGAAGGCATTGGCGATTACCTACGCTAGGTTAACGATTTCCTGATGAGCACACGATCCTTCGCATTGTTCTCGCCGCTCATTGCAAATCGTTGTTGCAAATCGTCGTTTTGCTCTCTTTTCCGCGGATAGCTTTTCCGTGATCATACAACCACGTGATCACACATACGCACCGTTAGGATTCACTTTCATGCTGGATAGCACTCGTAACAATGGCGATATATGTGTCAACGTGCGCTCTTGGTAATTCGTAACGCGCGTTAATTTTAAATAATTCAAAAGAATCAGATAAATTTCAGCATTTGTTCAGGCGATTAATTAATACAATGCATTATGTTTTCAAGAAAAATATCCGTCATTATCATCATCATCATCATTATCATTATTATTATTATTATTATTATTATTATTATTATTATTATTATTATCATCATCATTATTATTATTGACGAGAGAAAAGCAAATTTAATCACACGTTTTTGCAACTACGGACACATAACTCGAGAAGCGCGTGTACACATATCTGCATAGTTTCAAGCTGTATCTGAAACATTCAAAGTCCTATTACAGTCGAACTGACATCATGTATAAAGCATTGCATCTATATGAACGACACGCTTTATCTTTTTTTTTTTTTTTTTTTTCAAACGTTCTATTCGCGCTGTTAGTTCGCTCCTCATTACCGGCACGCATCATGTCGCTTATAACTATGCGTTGGAGCAACTTTCTCACGTGCCGTGATGTGATAATTATACGCTTCGGATTGCAAATGTCTCGAAACGTACGGCTTCGTTAACGTCGATATTCGAACGGTAGATCCGCAAGATGTATTATACAAGCTGTCTAATTACGCGATCAACGGTACCGTAAACTTGATTGATACGGCAAATATTGCGTACGCGACATGGCTCGATCATTTTTTTTTTTTTTTTTTTTTTTTTTCACACGATGTTTAATGAGACTTCTGTAAAAAAAAAAAGAAGAATGTAGAAAATGTCACATTATCGTAAATCGCTTGCAACTTGCGGTTGATATATGGATAAAATCTTGTGTGTTTCGCAGATATATCACATTACGCGGTATTACCATGTATTGTCTTCAAAGTTTTCGCTCCCTGCGTGACTTTTAGCAGGCGTGTCTCAAGACAAATAGGCTCATCTATCTCTCTATCTCCTGAAGTATAACAAAGAACACACTGTTATGCGATAATTAAACGATGTCTCTCTGCGTACTTTCTTGCATGCCTGATGAATGGATCGCGGCGCGCATCTGCATCGCAAACGAACGGTGCATTGTGTCCCGCGGTTAATGGTCATATTTGTTCCACTCGCGAGATAGATTATAAAAAAGACTAGAATATATAAAAAATATATTTAAAAAGATACGACGTAACATATGACGTAATATTAAATAAAAGAATAAATTAAAAAAAAAATTCAAGTAAATAAAACTTAGCGTGACAACAATTGTTACGTACTTTCTAAATTAAATAATTATAATAGATTTTTGAGACGTACGTGCTTCTCATTTCTAACTGCAGTTTTTCTTGTTAATACGCAAACGAACACAGCTAATCTCTCGCTATCGCAGTTGTGAGTAAGAAGAGAGGAGAAATAATAACGCGACGTTAATCTACGGCGTAATAAACGCGCCCGCAAAACTTGCTATCGAAATGCATTAATAACCGAAGAACTAATACACACGATATGCTCCTTCGTTGCTTATCGATCGATATTACGTACATAAGGCTCGCAAATGGACTAATTACTCGTGATTTGCGCAACGACCTTCTCCGTCATTAGTCGCTCGCATATCTCCGGCGCGTTGCGCAATGATATTCACTTGAATAAAGGCGCCGGGACGATTAAAATCTAACCGATTTAGATCTACCGCGAAGAAAACATCGTCTTTGATCATTCGTGCGCGCTCCCCCGTCGTTTCGGCCTCTGCGCCTTGATTCTTTCTAGTCGGCATCAAGCGTAGAAAACAATCCATCTGTCTCTTGGTCCTCTCCGTTCTCTCGCGTCATCGTCTTTTTAATTAAAGCGACTTTCAAGAACGCAAACTATATATCTTCTTAATTATCATTCGGTAATTAGCCTCTACGATACTGTCAAAAAAAAGTGATTTTAATATCCCGGAGCAATCTGGCGCGGTTCTACTTTTCGTTCTCGGTGCGACGCGCCGGTATACCAAAGCTGTTTACGGACAATGCGCAGCCACTAACTGTAAACGCACGTAATCCATTTTCCGATCGCGCGGGAACACGTTATTATTTCTTTCTTTTGTTAACAAACAATGAGTTGAACCGGCAGTGAAAGATGAAAAAAAGAAAGCACGCTTTCGTAGAACGTTTCCGTGTATTGGATCATCGTTTCATCTGCGTTCAAAATCACTCGTAAACGTGTGAATAGGGGAACATCCATGTGTAATTCTCCCCCGTAAAATAATCTTGTAGCAATTTCTCCTCTTCGACGCGTCGTGATAATTAAAACGTCTGATTTATAAAGATTAATCGTCTCTAAATGCGTTATAAATAACAAATGTGTGTAAACTATAAGCCGCGTTTTAGAGACCGCGGCCGTTTCTTAGTGGCGAATCGTGCTCCACGACGTGATAATTGTTCCGGCCGTGCTTTAACACCGATCATTTGCAAGGGCAAATACCAAATTAAGGGTTAAACATCGATCCCGCGCTTCTTCGAGGTAATAACACTCTTCATCTTGAACCGTCTGTGACTTACGACCCGCAGCTTGCAAGCCGAGAGCCTCTTGCTGCTCAATTCTCGTTGTCAAGATTCGCGCACGGACTCAAATACAATATAACGATCAAATCCGCGGCGGTTATCGCGAAATCTCCGAAGAGATAGAACATGTCGTCGCCTCCGTCGCTCAACTAAGTTGACCATTACCTTACCGGGTTTAACCGGTCGCGCGCAGTTAATAGGATCGCGAACCGACGACCACCTGATCGTAACGCTCGATATTTCGTCGCTCGATAGTTATTCGTCTTCGTCTCGCGCTGAAGCACGAAGCGGCTGAACTTGATGGCGATTACGTCATCGCCCCGCAACTGATCTGTTTCCATTATATATTTAGAGCATACGGAGAGGCGATTCTTTATCTCGTTTCGGTTCCGTTTCTTCCTGTTTTGCGGCGGAGTTCGTGCACGGCGCATCGTGCATATAATCGTTTTACACATCACGACCAAGTGTTGTTGAAACAGTGTGTGACTTTATAGAACAGAGAGACTCAAAATAATTTCAATTTTTTTACGTTTTGTGAGAATTATTTTACTTTAATTATAAAAATTTTTATTTCCTTCTTATTTTACTTTATTGCTTAATGACCCACGCAACTGAGAGAGAAAACGATATAGCTTTACACTTATTATATATACTGTCGTACATAGAAATTATTTCAATTACAATGTTATCTGAAATATGTAAAGACTTACATGCTTTTTGAATTAAAATCGCCGATGATCGGATAAACAATCGGTGATCTTTATATATCAGATTGTTAGACAATATAATCTACATATTGTATTAGAAATGTTGTTTTATTAGTAATGTTTTTATTGATTGAAAGTATATAATATACGTAATGTTACATGGAGATAATAGAAGATTCTTTATTAATCGAATAAAAAAATATTTTTGTTGAAGATACTCGATTACAGATATGTAACGACTTTACATCGAGTAAAACTCATCCAAGTGTAATAATTGTGTAAAAATATTGGGTAAAATCAAAGATATTCTTATATAATTGTTAATTGTTGCATTGACACGGAGGCGGAACAAGGTTTCTGCCAGAGCACCACATCTTTGTACACATCCATGCATTTAAATCTAAATTACATTTACATGTATTGCATCCGTCAGAATAACTAAAACCATTTGCACATTTTGGTTCTGCATCTGAGAGAAAAAAAAATAAGTAAATAATACTTTACAGTTATGTGAGCTGTCACGCATCGAGCATACGTCGAGAAATTATTACACAATTAGGCCATGTTGCCGTTTGAAATACGTTAAACGATATTACTTACTTGATTCTCCTTGAATTAGAACGGCTGATACGGCGATGGTAATCATCAATATCAAGATGACGTATTTGCACGACATTTTGCTTGATTCTGTATTGTTTTTCTGCAAAATTGCAATACAAACTTTGATGCAGAGGAACGCTTTACTTATTGACCGCAAATAGCTCTCAAACCTTCTTTTATATCAGATTTTGTATTATATGATTCATGCGCGTTATCTTATATAATACTGCGTATCGACATAACATAATAAATGTTAAATATAACAATGCAATAATCTAATCGTTTTATCAGTAGAAAATAGCGCTTAAGAGATTAAAAAATATACTTAACCAGAACAAGAGCTTGATTGTTTTCCATTTGAGAAATGATTGTAAACACTTATTGGTTGTAACAACACTTGATTTAATGCATTTAATGATTGAATTTAATAATAATAATTTGATACCACGTGTAGAGAAGATAAGACAAATCTTACAGACATAAAAACGCTCGCTTTCGTTCTCGACGCTAAGAGGAAAGATATTATTATTCATTTATCTCATAAACAATATATATTTTTTATTATTATTATTATATTAAATGTTCTTCTTTTTATTTGTTTCAGGCGAGAAGCCGTATCAGTGTACGTGGGAGGGTTGCACGTGGAAATTCGCACGATCGGACGAGCTGACGCGACACTATCGCAAGCACACAGGCCAAAAGCCGTTCAAGTGCCATCTCTGTCAGCGATCGTTTTCGCGAAGCGACCATTTGTCGCTCCACATGAAGAGGCACTGATAAAGAGAGTCTTCTAGGGTTGCGCGATGCGCAAAAAAGTCGCACGCCGATCAGCGAGGAATATATAGGAGAATAAGAGAACGATCCTCGATAATCGGCTAGTGATCCCGAGTGATCCTACGTACGGGATAATGATGATGATATTTTTTACATTTGGGACCTGAAGAGCTGAGCCGCGAGCCGGCCCGTCCTGAATTTTTGGGCTGGCAGTCGGGCGGGCAGTAATTAGGAAAAGAGAAAATAAAATCGACGAAGCAAACAAAATCGTTAGGTTTAGCGTGCAATCACGAGTAATTGAGGGCTGAACATCTGAGCTGAATTATATTCTCTCATTTCTGTTTCTCACGAGTCTTTCAAACATGGTTATATATTTACAGAAAATAACCGCCGCGATAATTGATTGAAATTGCGTTTTTTTAGCAATTGTCGCTCTATTGAATTTGATGGAAACTAGATCTTGCACGTTCACCGTATGATATTCTATATATTCGATGAAGATGTATTATCGATCATACATCCGTATCTTTTCTGTTTCTAGCCAATTTTTACTTGTTCGATATTTTCCAGTTTGTTTTATATATAAATATAAATACATATATATATATATGTTTAAATAAGGCCAGCTCAACTAGTCTAGAGCACCATATATCGTATATACATAGCGAAGAATATAGAGAGCCAGTATAAAAGTTAATTAATATTAACTATGGTAAGTAAATAATTAATAGTAATAAATATGTAAACTGAAGAATATATCGAACTCCGGTGACGGAGCTTGGGACTTAGCATGCTCAGTTAAAATAAAATACAATCGTGATCGTAGAAACTTCGTAAAGCATTAATAGAGCAATCTTTCGATTATGCACAAAGAATTTCGCGTTTAGAAACGGACAATCATAAACGTTTCATTATATAGTAATGGGAATATATAGACAAAGTTTCTGAGGGACATCCCCCCTCCCCCGAGAGCCAGTATTAAAACAAATATGTGAGAGAAGTAATGTCATATCATTACATGTGTAAAACGCTTTTTCTAAATCTCCCATTTTAGTCGGCAAAAGTAAGATCTTTTTTGTATCATATTTCCAAAATCGCCAACTTTCGATTCTACGTAAAGGTGCCAAAGTAGAAAGTGCAATGATGAGATAACGTTGATATTTCTTGCTTTACGAAAGAAAATATAAGCATAATCGAGCAAATTATTCTTTTCTATCGCGCTTTGAGATTTTCGAGCTTTATCGTGTCACGAGGATGCAAGTGTACACGTAAACAATTACGAGATAAGTATGTACAATTGTTAGTATCTCTATCAATTCAGCATAAAATTACGCGTTGTAAATCCTGCTCATAAAATACAACTATCAAATTGTGATTGAATTCCATAACTATATCATTTTTACCATTTTAGCATTGCGCTTCAGTTTAAATAAATTTTGCATTCTTCTGAATGGTAATTGAACAAAATTTATATTGTATAAAAAATATAAATACAAAGTTTTTTATATTACTTTATATTGTTATTGTAATAATATTATAATAATATTATAATAATATTATTACATATATAATAATATTATATTAATATTATATATAATGTCGTGTGTGTGAGAATGGGATTCATCACATTTGATAACATAATAGCAGGAAGTGTGTTGATGTTGGAATAGCGAAGAAAACACTATTAATATATTATTTATCGGAAATTATTCAGACATTGAAATCACTGATTCTTCGTGTCAAACAATTATAAAGGATTGTGAAAAATCTTAATGCGCTTGCTTATTATCGTAATATACATTCGTGTATATAATTTCTAGCAACTTCGCGTAGATAGCAAATGTAGCATTAGTCTGTTTCTTTGCGAGCCGTGTTTTTCGCTGCTGCGTAAGTACGACTAAAGCTGGGACACCTCTATCTGAAGCCAGTTGAAATGACGGAACAAGATGCCAGTATATACTAGAGCCAGTTTATATCATTAAAGAGAAAACGTCCGCGTGTAAGATTAATATGCGTGGGTCAATAAATTAACATTTTTTACGTGTTGTGTATTCTGATAGAGACTAGTGCCTTCTAATATTAAGGAAAGGGACGCTGCGTTAGGCCTTAAGTATACTGTTAGTGCCTTAAGTCACGCGAATCTTCGTGCTTGTACACCTTTCATAAATCCGATCCTACGAATTCTCACCCGGAGGACCAGTTTGGCGTACTTTATGGTATCTTCATAGCAGAGAGGTTACAAATCAGACGTCACGTCGACTCACGTAAGTTCTGTAATGTTAAACGTGCGCGAAACTTCAAAAGATATCAGAGAGAACGGAGAAATTTTCAGATATGGTATGTCGAGGCAAATTGAAATGCTTGCAACGATACAGTGGGTTGAGAAAACTGTTTTATAGGACGTTATTAGAATTTTTAACGAAAGCTTTTGATCAATTATTGCGGTTTAAATATGTATTCATAAAGTCACATCGTTTTATGTTACTAAAATTGAAACTGTAACATTATATGTCATCTGTTGACTCTTCACCATTTTTTTTTTTTTTTTTACAATTTACGATATGTTTTTTATTATATATTTATATACAATCTCTCATTGCATACTAAAACTAATAATTTAACATTCTCAACATATCGCAATCATGGAAATATAACATCGTCGCAATGACTATTTTTCAACATCTTCAGAATTCGTTTATGCACTTGTACTGACATGTCTTGTTTTATCTTGTTTGTTCGTCTTTTTTCTCTTATCTTCAGATTGTTCGACTTATATATCAACGGAAAATACTTAGAAATATATCTTTTAAGATATTAAAAAAAAAAAAAAAAATATCAATTAAAAACACCGAATGTTTTTTATCTCTTATCGAAGACTTAAATTATTGTGAAGCTTCAGTCTTTGTATAATCTTTCACCACAAGATTTTCGCTCAATGTTACAGTTATGTAAGTCAAATATCAAGGTGATAATCGATATTGTATGTTTACGGTTATATGATATTTATATTATACGATATATATCTAAATCAAATCCCTTGTATATAATATAATAACCTAAATTTATTCTTATTGGGAACATAAACTGTTGAAAAATGTACTGTCAGTATGTAAATAATGAGTTTGTGATACTGATAAATATTATATAATTTTTTCTTAATTGTTGTTTTCTATTCCGAATTATTTAAATATTTCTTGTTTCGATATTTTATGTATGATGATAAATATCTTTCGAGATTTAAATACGTGTTCTTTTGTTACATATATATACATATATAATATAATAAAAGTTAAAAAGATACAAATATCTTATAATATTATTTATATGTATTTAACGATTAACGGTAATAACTTGTTCGATAAGTGTGTGTATAATGTTAATATTTGCTCACTCGCTCATATTCGATATTTCGGTTGCAAAAGTGGTTTTGTACTTGCATTAGTATACGTGTGGCGTCGATTGTTATTGCTCGTAGATTTAAGACAACGTGCGAAGAGTATACGCAAGAGCAAAGAGCTATATCGTGTGTAATATTTAAACTGCCGTCCTTTTACGGGAAAATAAAACGATTTAACGAACATTCCTGTTACCAATCAGCACAAAATTTCATTGAGATTCGTCACGCAAAATTTTCTAGCGTTACATCATTACTTAGAATTTTGAAAAAGAAATGAAAAAGAAATCGGCTACAGAGTTTTACATTCCCCGAGCACACACGTTCCTATATCGAAGAGTACGCGGAACTTCGAAAAAATCCAATCCGTTTCACGCGTAAAGTTATCTTATATATTCGTGAGTATGTCTCCCCCTACACTTTTCTCTATATATGTATCAACGCTTATTTCTCATGTTAATGCACGACTATTCAATATCCCGTACAAGGTAAACCGTGAATGGATAAGGAAGTAGGTAAACGAGCTTCAACTAAATTTTCTTCAAGTGGCCCCGCCCAGGAAAATTAGCATTTCAAGTGCCTTAACAGATGTCAACCGTGACAACCAACCAATCGAGATTACGCACAGTCTCTCAAACGCAAATTATTTATATTTGGCACACTTCGGTAAACATGAAAAGCAGGCGACAAAAGACTATAACTGAATTGAATACGCGAAAAATGTTTGTATATAACGGAAAAAAGGGCTTGGCCGATCACAAATTTAAAAAGAAATTATAAGAAAACGTCAGGCTATTAAAAATCCAAGTACTTTTAAATAATTAAAATTGAAATTATTATTCGACAAAGTGATAAATAACTTTTCGTTACTTTTGAAGTATATGTTTCGCAACTTATTTGTCACTGTATTTTTTTATTTTTTTTTTATTTTATCACAAAATCACAGTTTGCGTATCTATACAAGTTATACTTTTTTATGAAACTATTTCGAGTGTGCTCATTTAATAAAAAGAATTATAATGCATAATATTTCTCATCTTTTTAATATCGTTACATTACATCGTGTTAATTATCATTATCAGTCTTGATACATATGTACGAAAAAAATTATTGTTTACTTTTTTATATGAAAATATGCTAACTGTGGTATGTACGACTTTCTATTTATTATAAATGGTGCTCATGATAATTTTGGTGCGTTAATTTTATACGTGCTTGTATTATAAATATACAATATAAATGAATAAGTAGATATTAATATTAATATGTGGTTAATTAGTGATTTGGTTAATCATTATATCTATTTTTTAATTTTAATCTTGATATTAAATTTACACAACAAAATTATTTTCTGTTTATATTTATATGCACGGATATATTTGAAACGATTTTGTAACAATTTCTGTATAGATTAACTTTTACTTTTGTTTTTTTTTTCTACTATTAATAATACTATCTTGTGTTAGATATCGAAACTATTACGACATATGTTTTGACGAACAAATGATAAATTTTTACTTTCAAAAACAATTTACGTGCACAAAAAAATAACAGCAACATATAAGCAATATTATAATTTATGATGTTCATATAAAAACTCAAATTATGTCGTTGTTCAGATATTTGGCTGCTGACATTTACGTGAGTTTATTGAAATCGTAACTACTAGAACTAAAGAGTAATAACATAGCAAAGTAATAATTGTACATATAAAGTACATATACAGTTCACCGTTTGATGACTGTCACTAGACGATCAGCGGTCTAATATATATATATATATATACATATAGCGTGATTCTATCTTAATAATATAATCAATGGGGGCCAGTAATTCTCTCTCGGATCTCGCACGGATTTATACACTGTGGGGCGCGTGACGTAGCCTGAATTACAAATTTGAAGCAGTTGATATTTTGATTGTACATACGTATAAAAAAATTTGTGTATATTATACAACAATTACAATTGTGAGTTTATATTACATTTTGTGTATTTTTAAAATTTGTTTTCTATGGCAAAACAGGTTATAAAACAGAAATTTCCAAATTTTTGTATTCGATTTTATGAGCGTATTATTTTTTCTCTCTTGCAAACACAAAACTATTCAATAAATATTAATTTAATAGTTTTTTATTTTTTCTGATAAAACATGAGAGTTGCTAAAATTTGGAAAAAAGGCGAAATAGTTACGCGCCACCTATTACCTTTTAAGCATAATTATATAGAGGTATGTTGCGTAGGAATGTAGATCAATACATATACATTATGACTCATTGTGTATATATTAACGAAAGCATTATGCTAATTTTCTATTGTATCACGCAGCGCTTGACGACGGTTTCTATATCGTATTGCGCACAGGTGTGTTTGTTAGTTAATAAAAATATATATTATACAAAAAAAAATATATATATATATAGAGAGAGAGAGAAAGAGAGAGAAAGAAAGAGAGAGATATCTAAATATAAATATGTTGTAAATGTGGTTGTAATCATATTATTGTTATATCGATATTGATGTTCTTTGATTTGGATAATTTATTTATTGCAGCGAAAGAAAATGAAGAGTGTATTATTGTATGGCGGAAAGATTAATTAGTGAAATATATATATATATATTACGCACGAAATTATATATATATATATATATATGTTATATATATTTATATATGACATTAATCGTAAAACGCGTCCGGTGACGTTTTTGTACGAGAAAGTCCTAAAAGTATATATATATTTGACCGAAATACGGTCGTGAGAGCGCGCATAGTAATTATTGATAACTTGCAATTCCTACTGTAGAAGTGAATCTTATATATCGTAAGATCTCCGGGTATTATCGGTCACGGCCATAACGTGATTTATTGAAATAAAAAAAAAATTGTACGCCGTCGGGAGATTTGCAGCGACGTGTGATGTACATACACATGGCATGCTGTGTTCGTTTTGTGTGTGATGTAGCCATACACTTGTCTCGGTGTGTGGCTAACCACACTATCGAAGAGCGCATTGGTTACATATTTTAGATAATACTTATTATCATTATTACGATTCTTATAAT